ATGGAATGTCCGTACGATGTTTGAACCCAGTAAGGCAGCCCAGATTGCAAAGGAGATGAGAAGGTATCACATCGAAGTGCTTGGGATTTGCGAAAGCAGATGGAATGGGAGTGGACTCTCCAAACTGTCAACTGGAGAATCAATAATCTACTCCGGTCACCCAGACGCCAACCACGAGCTCACTGAGGGAGTGGCTATCATGATGTCCCCTTGAAGAGCATCGAAGGCTTTCAAGCAGTGGGAACCAATCTCCTCCAGGATCATGACAGCAAGACTCAACTCAAAAGGAAGAAAGATCACAATCATACAATGTTATGCACCTACAAATAATGCAGAGCAAGAGAAAAAGGAGGAATTCTACAGACAACTTCAATCAACACTGGACAAGACGTCAGTTGGCGATATCAAAATTCTAATGGGCGACATGAATGCCAAACTGGGAGGGGACAACACGGGAAGAGAACTAACCATGGGTCGAGAGGCGCTAGATGAAATGAATGAGAATGGAGAATTGTTTGCAGAATTCTGTGCATTCAACGATTTGGTGATTGGAGGCAGTGTGTTCAGGCACAAAGATATCCACAAAGTGACATGGATTTCACCAGACACCAGATGGACACACTAAAAATCAAATCGACTTTATCTCAATCTCAAGAAAATGGAGACGCAGCCTACTTAACACAAGGTCAAGAAGAGGAGCAGATGTAGGTTCAGACCACTATCTAGTGCAAGGAACCTTCGAAATCAAGTTAAAAGCCTTCAAGGAAGCTGGTGATAGACCTCAAGTCAAGTACAACACTCGGAAACTGAAGGATGAAACTACAAAGGAGATCTTCAAAGCAGCCATCAAGACAAAATGGGAGACATCGAGCAACATCCCTGAAGAAACCTGTGTGGAAGAACACTGGAAGTCTTTGAAAGCTATGTGGAAAGAAACCTGCACAACAGTATTAGGAAGGAAGAAGAAAGAAGACAAGGAATGGATCTCGACAGATACCTGGAAGCTGATAGAGCATGGGGAGGAGGATGGTGAAGCAGAAGATAAACCAGTGCAAGGATGCTCAACGACAAGAGGAACTGAGCACGATGTATGAAACACTGAACAAAGAAGTAAAGAAGAGTGCACGCAAAGACAAAAGACACTTCTACGAAACACTGGCAAGTGAAGCAGAACAGGCTGCAGGTAAGAGAGACCTGACGACATTGTATCAAATAACCAGGTTGCTATCAGGGAAGAGACCAACACAGATGAAACCAATAAAAGATGAAGAAGGAAATTTAATTGCAAAAGAAGAGAAACAGAGGAAACGATGGGCCGACCACTTCAAGAAGCTCTTGAATCGACCACCACCACCTGCACTTCGTCCAGAAATACCACCTGCAGCCGCTGAATTACAAGTGAACATAAATCCCCCAACGAAAATGGAAGTCCTGAACGCCATAAAGCTACTGAAATGCGGGAAAGCAGCAGGACCAGATGGAATACCGCCAGAAACACTGGGAACAGATGCAGAGACAACAGCGGCCATGCTCATACCACACCACTATTGCAGAAGGTGTGGAAGGAAGAGAAGGAACCTGGCCATTGATTGGAAGAAGGGTTACCTTGTCAAACTGCCGAAGAAGGGAGACCTCAGCGTTTGCAAGAACTGGCAAGGAATCACCCTCCTGTCTACTCAAAGCAAGGAAAATATTAAGCCGCATCATCCTAGAGAGGCTTAAAGATGCACTGGATTCAAAACTACGACCGGAACAGGCAGGCTTCAGGAAGTACAAATCATGTGCAGACCAAATTGCAACGCTTCGTATCATCATAGAACAGAGCGTAGAATGGCAATCAGCTCTCTACCTCAACTTCATCGACTTTGAGAAGGCCTTTGACAGCGTCGACCGAGAAGTAATTTGGAAACTGCTTGATTACTACGGAGTACCGCAAACCTTTATCCACCTCATTCAACAACTATATGAAGATGCCACATGCCAAGTAATCCACAATGGGAAGCTCAGTGATGCTTTTGAAGTGAAGACAGGAGTGAAACAAGGTTGCCTACTATTCCCCTTGATATTCCTGATTGTGGTGGACTGGATCATGCAGCAAACAGTAGGCAGCGAGAAGAGGGGGATACGCTGGCTGGACTGCGGAAAAGAACCTAGAAGACTTGGATTTCGCCGATGACTTGTGTCTAATGTCACATAAACTTGAAGATCTGCAGGCAAAAACTAACAAGTTGATAGAAGAGGCAGCTAAGACGGGACTTCAGGTGAATATAGAGAAGACAGAAGTGATGAAGATACCGCACCACCACCATCAACAACAACAACAACAAACTCCAGTCACCATCAATGGGAGAAACTTAAAGGAAGTAACCTCCTTCACTTATCTAAGAAACACTGTTTCAACAACAGACGGCACAGGCACAGACGAGAATGTCAAAGTCAGAATCGGAAAAGCAAGACAGGCGTTCATTAGCCTGAAACCAGTGTGGAGATCTTCTGCACTCAGCATGTGGAACAAGATACGGATTTTCAACACCAACGTCAAGTCAGTGCTTCCGTATGGCTCAGAGACTTGGCGCGTCACGAAAGGCATTTCCAATAAACTACAGACATTCATCAACAACTGCTTACGCTCGCTACTGAAGATCAGATGGCCAGAAAAAATAAGCAACAAGGAACTCTGGGAACGAACCAACCAAGAACCTATCACGCAACAAATATGCAGTAGAAGGAAGTGGAGATGGATTGGGTAGGGCATACACTGAGAAGGCTGACTGGGGACATCACACTCTAGGCCAGCTGCTGGAGTGGAACCGCCATGGAAAGCGACGAGTTGGACGTCCGAGGGTGACATGGAGGAGGTCGTGCGAAGAGGAAATGAGAGCTTCTGGGCTGTCGTGGAACCAGGTTCAAAAGATCTCAGAGAACAGAGGTCACTGGAGGCGTGCTACTGAAGCCCTATGTTCCACTAGGAACCCAAGGGACTAATAATAATAATAATAATCTGGCCTCAGCTAATCAGATTCCTACAAATAAGTGTCCCAGTCCAACAGGAAAGTAACTTGGTAACAAAAACACAGACTTTTAAACAGAGAAATCACCCAATCATTTTTCATTTCTAATTTCATTTTTCCACCCTTATTAAATTAGGGCGGTGCTGGGTAATAAACGACACCAGCAACTGAAGATCTAGCATCTTACTAATCAGTCCTCAAGGAGCCAAGAAACAATTCTCACTACCAATAGCTATAAGACATTAAAATGAATTTTAGCAAATGACTAATTTAACCTGAAGTAAAGACAAATTTTAGCAAATCATTTCCTTTCCATTACTTATTCCATAAATCATAATCATCAGGGTGAATTACTTTTGCTTTCTAACTGATGAGACAGTTTTATGTAGTAGAAGAATATCAATTTCCCGAACTGATATGAATCACTAAACATAAACATGAAATGCGGTCTTAAAAAATTAGTTATCCATCCATACGATGGAAGTGTTATTTTTCTTGAAAGCGCTTGTATGAATAAAGTTTGTGAAATTTAAGTGTAAATGGAATGACTTCTTTGTGCATTTACTCAATTTTTATACAGAAAAGATGTAAATGGGAGTGACGTGCCAAATAAAAATTATATTTTGCTGATAACTTATTAGTCCTCTGTTGTTAATTATTTAAAGCGAGGAGATCAAATATTACTTTTTAACGTCAGATTAATCGTTATACATAAGTGGCTGCTTTGTTTTCATTAATGTTCTGACTTTTTAGGCTAGATTATCTTCGAATGACGTCTTCAAAGTCAGTTGACTAACGGTATGGTAGACTAATTTCGAATTAACTAATCTTTCAAACGGTTGTCATTTGACCGTGATGAATTATTTATGTTGACTTATCAGTTAGTTATCATGTTCAGCACCCTAATTTAATGAGAAGTTAAGACAGGCATTATAAAAACTATACCACTTATTTGTGATCAAAACTAAATCAAAACAAAACTGTGAATTTTCATTTATAACATTTATAAGAATGATAGTTAACCACATTTTAACAACTGGGACTGGGAGTTTTCAAGATAGAAAGACTAATAAAACGCTGGATATCAGATCAAGTGCTGTATCTCATTAAAATAAATGGCTCTGATTGGCGAAAAATGCAAGGCGATGCAAACCACAAAGATAGGTTTTTCAGGCTTTAAAACCCACTATTTGGCTTCAATATTACCACCGTTAAAGCTTAGTTAAGACACCACATTTACACTCATTTAGCATACTGAGAATCATCCACACAGCCGTTACTTATAAGTACTATTTCGAGATCTGGGATAACGAAAAACTTCTGCTGGTAGTATCCAAATGTAGAGTTTCTATTGAAAAAATATTTATTTATGCACATCCGATTTTCTGGCGTTCGAGAACAAAAACACAATCTCTGCCTTGTAATGTAATCAGTCAAAGTTAAATTTTTTATGAGATTCTAACCCTTGACTTAGAGTCACTCACAGTATAATATGCAACTAGTCACTTTTATTGAAATATATATCAATAGGCCATAGCAATCTGCGTTTGATTTAGATGGTTCTTCGGTTTTTCTTATCATATCTAATGTTGACCATATGTTATGGGTCTTTGGCTGAACATCCTAAAATATTTGGGATGAGAATCTGTCACGGAACAGATTTTGTTTCCAACGTATTGAGTACAACTTAACTGCTGTAGAAATTCATATGTGAATAATGGGTGCAGGTTTGTAGAATATGACTTTTAAAAATTTCAGTAGAAAAAGTTATGACGAGATTTATGTTATTTGCTAATCCTTAACCCTTTTACAAGCAAGTTTAAAATTTATTATTTGCAACCTGATTACAATTTCATGTGTTCAGTGTAACGTCCTCCGAAATAATATTTGGCAGAACGTGATATTTCCTAACAGGATAAAATAGGTGGATTTGGGCTAGATTTATATTCATTCTAGAATCCATCGAGAAAATAACGTAAATCAACTCACACAAGAAGGAAATAGAACTTTTGCTGCATTCTTGGACTGCTCAAGCATTTCACGCCTTGATATGACTGAACCAAGAATAACGCTAACGTCATTTACCTGTAAGATAAGTTAAAATACGAAATAATGGTATAAATTGGGACTGAGTAGTAATTAATTAATAAAAGTAAAGTGAAAAGAATGACAGGAATTGAAACAATAACGTGACTACAGAATTTTTAGTGGACGATTTGAACTTTTGACTCTGGAAAGTACAGTGAGTCTCAACCTTCACCCTATGACGAAAACTTGTGTTTAAATCACTCCTATAGAACAGTACACTAAAAAAAACCAAAAACCAGAATTAATGTCTAAAAACACGTATATTGGTGATTATAACATTTTAACTGACAGCATTTAGCGTGTCATCACCAGGGGCCTTCAGTAATCAGATATTCTAGGCCAAAACATTTTCTTGGCATCAAAGCGGTTCAGGAAAATGGCAAAATTTCTCACTGTGTATGGCAATGACTTAATATGGATGATTGGTACAGTATACCTGTACAGTCTCGCTTACAAGATTAACTCGGATATATTATTGAATAATGCCTCATGCTGTTTAAGGCCTGTACCGAGTTGAAAACTGGGCAAAACACGCCGAAAGACATGATTTTTCTAAAATATTCTGCTATCAGTGGTATCAGTGTTCAAAGACCCTATTGAAAGTTTTCTAACTTCAGAAATGCTAAACGTGAAATGTGTTTTGTTTGACTTTCCTTACTTAAAACGTATGTTTAATAATAAGTTCATAATAACGAAACATTAAAATACTCAAAAGCTATAACAGTCCACTCTTATTAGAATACTGGTGTTAATGTTAAGCTCAGCGATACAAGTCTTCACCTATTGCACCTAACTTCAGAAAGTAAAACATGTTGGTTTTCGGTAAGTAATCCTTTCTAGTAGTAAAACCAAAGTGAACCGGTTTTCCAACATTCACGACATGTGAATATATAGTGGCCTGCTAAGTGTTTATGGCTACCTATCATATATTGATATTCAAATACAACACTGAAATCCAGAAATATGACACGCGTTCGATGCTTTATTGCCGGCAAAGAAAGTGAATAAAACTGAAAAGTTTCTGCAAACGGAGAAACTGGTATTGCACTCGACTTTTGTAGAGTCAGACATCCGAGAGAGTTTCCAGTTCCAATCGATTCTAAACGTACAAAAAAACGATTACAAAAATGAATGCATCAAAAAATGTACATGACCGCATCTAGTTCACTGGTTAACTAGTTTACTAGCCTGTCTCAAACTCGGATAAAAAGGAGAGGCTGGGCATACGGCTACCAACCCTACACCGGAAAACCAATCCAATCGCCAAAGAAACTTCAAAGCACAGACGAAATATAAAAAATAAAATTAAACTTATTCCTCACTGGAATCAGGGAGACGAAATGACGCTAGTTGGTGAAAGCATTCGGCAAGCCAATTGGCCGATATGTCTTCTCTCGATGAAAGCAAAAGTAAGGATGGAGACATGGAATGTCCACACCATGTATGAAGCTGGCTGACAAGGCTGCCCACATTCCAAAAGAAGTGGGAAGGTATGAGATAGATGTACTTGGAATCTGCGAGGAATCTGTAGGTGGAATGGAAGTGGACAATTCAAAATGTCAACTTGCGAGTCAATAATCTACTCCGATATTGTCACCCAGACGACAGTCACGAGCACACTGAGTTTCCGAGTGGTTATCATCATGTCTCCATGATCATCGAAGGCTCTCTCGCATTCAGTGGGAACCAATCTCCTCCTGCAAGACCACCATCATGACAGCAAGATTCGAATCGAAAAGAAGGAAGGAAAGTGATAATCATACAATGAGTGCTACGCGACGCTACGCTGTGCACCTACAAATAATGCAGATGAGGAGAAGGAGGAGGAGGAGGAGTAATTCTACAGACAACTGCAATCAGTACTCGACAAGAACCCGCCTCAATTGGAGGCATCAAATTCTAATGGGTCGAGTGACAGGAATGCCAAACTGGGGGTGGATAACAGGGGTGGAGAACTCATCATGGGTGGAGAGGCACTGGATGAAATGATGAATGAGAATGGAGAACTGTTTGCAGACTTCTGCGCATTCAACGAATTGATGATTGTAGGCAGTAGGCAGTGTGTACAAACACGCGCAGATATTCACAAGTGAGCGACATGGATTTGATTTGACCAGATGGAGACACTACACTGAAAATCGGATCGATTGATGTCAATGTGAAGGAGGTGGAGACGCAGCCAGCCTACTGGACACAAACAAGACGAAGAAGAGGAGGAGATGTAGGTTAATACCACTCACTATGTAGTGCAAAGTAAGGAAAGTTCGAAATGAGGTTGAGAGCCTTTTGAAGAAGCTGGTGCTGATAGACCACAGTTGAAGTTGAACACCCAGAATGGAAACAGAAGTGAAGGATGAAAGTACAAATGACATGTTGACGTGAGCCAGTCATCAGGAGAAAGTGTGAGATATTGGGCAACATAGTTGACGAAAGCTGTGTGGAAGAACACTTTGAAGTATGTGAAAGCGACGTGGAAGGAGACGTTCATAGCCGTGTAGTGAAGGAAGAGGAAACTAGATGAGGCAGGGAATGCATTTTGATGGAGACATGTAAGCAGGTGGAAGAGAGGAGAGGAGAGGAGAGGAGAGGAGAGGAGAGGAGAGGAGAGGAGAGGAGAGAAGAGGAGAAGAGGGGAGAGGAGAGGAGAGGAGAGGAGAGGAGAGGAGAGGAGAGGAGAGGAGAGGAGAGGAGAGGAGAGGAGAGGAGAGGAGAGGAGAGGAGAGGAGAAGAGGGGAGAGGAGAGGAGAGGAGAGGAGAGGAGAGGAGAGGAGAGGAGAGGAGAGGAGAGGAGAGAAATTTGTTGCAGCATAGAATGAGCCAGTGCAGTGCGTTGCAGGAATAAACAACGAAAGGAGGGAGTGAATGCAGAATATAAAGCACTACACTTGACAAGGTAGTGAAGAAGAGCACGAGAAAGTATGAAAGATGCTTCCACGGCAGACTCGCAAGTGAAGCAGAGCAGGCTGCATGTTGATAAACAAGACCTGACAATATTATGTCTTACAACCGGGTCACTATCTAGGAAGAGACCAACGCAAACGAAACCAATGAAAGATAGTGAAGGAAACTTGGTCAACACGATAGAGGGAAACAAAAAATCACTTCAAACAACTCTTGAGTCGACCACCATTTGGAAGTCGTCTAGAAAAACCATCAACTGCCACACAACTATCAGTGAACACAAGCCCTCCGACAAAAGTGGAATTGAAGTCCTGAATGCCATAATGTTGTTGAAATGTGGGAAAGCAGCAGGACCAGATGGAATACAGCCAGAAACATTGAAGACGGACGCAGCGACACCAGTGGACATGCTCACACCACTATTGCAGGAGGTTTGTAATGAAGGGAGGAATGAAGGGAATGTAGCTGCCCGGTGAATGAAAGAAGGGCTATTTTATCAAACTCCCAAAGAAGGGTGACCTAAGTCTTTGCAAGAACTGGCAAGGAATCATGCTCCTCTCCAGCCGAAGCAGGCAAAATATTGACCTGCATCATCCTGGAGCGACTGAAGGGTAGTTTGGATTCAAAATTACGACCGGAACAGGTGTGGCTGGCTGCTTTCACGAAGAACAAATCATGTGCGGCTTGAATTGCAAGGCTACTCTAAACATCATCATAGAACAGAGTATAGAATGATAGTCAACTCTCTACCTCACCTCAACTTCATCGACTTTGGATACACCTTCGACAGCGTTGATCGAGAAAAATAATTTGGTAGGCAGCTGCAGCTGCTTCAACACTATAGTTTTAGTGTCACAAACCTTTATCAACCTCATTCAACAGCCCTGTGCTGTATGACGCTACATGCCAAGTGATTCACAATGGAAGGTTGTTCAGTGAAGACTTTGAAGTGAAGACAGGAGCGAGACAAGGTTACCACCTACTATCACGGATGATCCTTCTGATTGTGGTCGACTGTACTGGATTGGATCATGCACCAAACAACTGTGAGGAGCGAGAAGCGGTGCATACGCTGTTTGACCGGTGAAAAGTCCCTAGAGGATTTGGATTTCCCCGATGACGATCTATGTCTCATGTCTTGTCGCACAAACTCGAAGACCAGTAGGTGAAAACTAACAAGTTGGTAGGAGAGGGAGGCAGCGAAGACGGGACATCAAGTGAATGTAGAGAAGACAGAGGTGATGAAAAACCCAATCAACAACAAGCATCGATCACCACCAAATGGAGGAATCTGAAGGAAGTAGTTGCTTTCGCGTACCCATCTAGGCAAGTAGAGGCGGCGGCGACACAGGTGAGGATGTCAAAGCCAGGAATGGAGAGACAACAAGACAGGCATTCATTAACCTGAAATCAGTGTGGAGATCTACTGCACTGCACTGCACTCAGTATAATGTTTGAACAAGATCCGGATTTTCAACACCAATATCAGTCAAGTGAGTCAGTGGTTCAATGTGATAGTGTAGAGACATGGTGCGTTACGAAATGCATTTCCAACAAACTACATACACTCATCAACAGCTGTCGCCTATGTTCACTCGATGCTGGTGATCAGATGGCCAGAAAAATAAGAATAAGCGACACGGAACTCTGGCTGGCTGTTAGCAAAGTAATGAAGTATCTACCACCGAAGAAATATGTAGAAGAGAGGGAGATGGATTGGATTGGGCATACACTGAGAAAATGGATTGTGGATACTCAGCAAATTTTTTGCTGAAGGACCGCTTCTACAAGTCATTATACGCATTTACTTTATCATTTGCCGATTCGGTGCAAAGCATTCCACTTTAAATCCCTCACTAACATAGCGCAAAGATATTTTCGGATTATGTTGTACCGAAGGAGTTAGATTATATTCTTTGTTCATTGATTGAAATGAGCTACCCTAGCAGTTTCGTAGAAAGATGTATTGACAAAGCCAGGGAGTACAAACCTAGAATTGTTAGCAAACAGGAGAACCCATTGTTTATGAAATTGCAACTAAATGGGGAGGTGACTGGCGAAGTTTTATATCAGAGACTTTCTGGAGCCATTAAGAA